ATCTGATGCTCTGTCCAGGTAGATGGTGTCAGAATTGAGTTGAATTGTAGGACACCCAGCTGTTGTTGGGGAGAACTGCCTGGTGTAGGGAAAACCCCCACACATTTGGTGCCCAGCAGTGTCAGAAGTGAAGAGTTCTGTGTGAAAGTAAAGGAGACACACAGTAGGAGGGAGAACTGGGTTTTTTTTCCCCTCATACAGAGGTCAGCTGCTGAGATCAAGTGAGATTCTCAGCTGAAACGTGTGTGGGGAACAGGGGAGATTTGAGGAGAGCAGGTGTGAAGTGTCCCCAGTAGAGCGGGAAAGCAGACTCTCGGGAACTACAGTAACCCGTGCTGTGGTGCTGAATGCCCTGTGAGGCTGATGGACAGGAACCGTAAGATACAACCAGTCAGCTCAGCTGGTGAATTTGCTCCAGCGATAGCCAGCTGATCAGGTGCAGGAGCCTGAGTCGCAGGCGCAGGAGGTCTGGGTCGGAAAAGCCCAGGCTGATGGAGGCAGAAAGGGGCACAGAAGTCGAGGATCCTGAGAAGGAATGGATTTATTTATTGACCATGGAATCTAGGTTGGGTGAGAAGAAAAATGAAGATGGGGAGGGAGTGTTATTAGTGAAACAACTCTGGATTTAATGGATTTGGGATCTTGATAAGTCAGACTTGTTGCAGTGCGCGGTCCTCGGGTGAGCTGGGAAGTTAAGTTGCGGTCAGAGACGCTTGAAATGAAGACGTGAGCAGTTCAGTGACTGGTGATGACAAGTCTGAGGTCTGAGTGTAAGGAGGAAGAGAGGCGATCAAGAGACTGAAACTGACGGTGGTTCTCAGCCAAGGACACGACTGTCTACCCCTGGGGGCAAAATATGTGGGGACATTTGATGTGGCAATGACTGCGGAGGGGTAAAACGCTGGTCATTACTGGACAGAGAGTAGAGATGCCACATATCTTGTAATGGGCAGGACTGTCTGGCTCAAGGGATTGTCCCACCGCAAATGGCAACGGAGCCCCAGTTGAGAAGCACTGGGCCAGGATGGTGGGCAGGTCATCCGTGCGAGCTCGAAGTCACTGAGAATGATGGCAGGAGAAGGGTGAAGAGGGAGACAGCAGGCAGTGAGGGGGCAGCGGGTAGGAGTGCACAGCATGGCTTCGGTGCGGCTGGAGGTTTGGAAGGAAAGAGGGGGAATTATTTGGAAGCAGCAATGGGATCCGGAGGGCACACACCCTGAGGGAGAGCACCCTCAGGGAACAGCGGGTTTCAGATAAAGCCAAGAGGTAAACATTTGAAAAAGTGGAGGCTATGGGGGCATTTGCCTGTCACAGCCTGGGAGATCCGGAGGGCACACGGGAAGGGAGGCCAGGAAGGACAAATAGGAGGCTGGCCGGAGGGGGGTGCTCAGAGCAGCTGGGCCTGAGGACTGGGGATGGACTGAAGCACGTGAACAGGGCTGGCCCCAGGGAGGGGTAGCCCTGGAGGTCTCACACAGGAAGGTAAGTGATCAGTCCAAACGACAGTCCAGAATCCTTAGTGCATGGAGCATGGGCTTCCGGGTTACCACTCCGGGTACCAACTCCAGAGGGTAGTTTATACGGATTCAGTCAAACCCAGGAAACATTTAGGAACTCGGATCACACCTCTACTGAATTTTGGAGGGGAGTCAACTCCCAGGTCCTTCAGACACTCACGTGTCCAGGCTGCCCGACAGTTACCTCATCTAGGAAACTCTCATTTCTACAGGCAGAGCAGGTTTGAACCGCACGGAATTGAGTCCTGTGGAACAGAGCAGTGCTTCTCCAACTTTATGTACCCTAAAGCCCCGGGGATTTGCTAAGACGCTGATTCTGATTCAGCAGGTCTGGGGTGGGTGAGGGGTTCTCCATTTCAGAAAAGCTTATGTCTGAAGGGAGAGGAGCAGCTTTGCAATTGGCTGGGTTCAAATACGGGCTTTTCCTGTGCCATGTGTGGCCTTGGGCTGATAACTGAACCGCTCAGTTGTCTGTGTGAAGCAGGACGAATGTCATGGGCTGCTGTGATAATTGATGAAATAATGCGAGTAAGGGACCCAGCACAGCCCGAGGAGCTGTGGACACAGCAGGCTTCAGCGAGAGGATTTCCCTTTCCTTCTTCGTCTCATCCACAAACCCCACCGTCTTCCCAGACTTAAGGTGACCACCTTTTCATATCTGCGGGGACACTGGCTTCCTGTGGATTAGCAAGTGCCTGCCAGGGGCATTGCTAGCGCATCTCTGAAGCGCCCACTCTGCTCCTGGCGGCAGGGAGGAAGGCGCATCGTCCTCTCTCTTTGTTCAGGCGCGTCTGGCAGCCCTGGGTCCGGCCGTCTTTCTCACTCCGGTCTTGTGAACTGAAAACCCCAGTTCCTTTTTGGGTGGAGGATCACCTGCCTCCTAGACTGAGGGTCCTGGGTGAAGTGAGTTGCTCTTCCTTATCTAGCTTGTTTCTCACTGCCCTGTCCAATGCTGATGCCTTTTCTCGGGCAGAGCGGGCAGAGCAGGCCCGACTCCCTCCCTCGAGGAGTCTGGCTTACTGACTTTGGTGACCTCATTCCGGGGTCTGCCTGTCTGCAAGGCTGTAAGGACAGCCTGTTGGGCAGTGGCTCCCTCTGCGTGGCTGCAGCTTCAGAGGCGCCCGGAAGTTGCCGGGCACTAAATCCCACCCATCAGTGGGCGTCGGGGGTGTGAAGGAAACAGCCTGGCAGCCCGCGGCTTCCCTGAGGCCCAATAAGTGGCAGGAGTGTTTGGTCAAACTGGCAACTGCTCCCAGGTGAGGGGTCAGGGGTCAGGGAGCAGCTCCAGGTAGATGGCATGGGAGTGGTCCATTCTTGACTGGGCCCAGGAAACCCTCCCTCCCAGTCCAGCCAGGGCTGCGGAGGACAGGTGCCCGCCTGGTGCCTCCTGGATCGAGTTGAGAGGAGGCCCTTCTTTCTTTAGCTGGCCCCTTGGCCTTAACCAGGAAACTTCACACTTCCCAGTGTAGGGTCCAGGTACGACTACTCTGGGAGGATTTTCCTTTTGGGGAAAGGATCACAGGGACGGGTTTGAGAGGGCTGAGCAATTCTCTGGGTTCAGAACCCATAAGGAAATAAGTAGCCGCCTGCCTCTAATGTACCTCCTGGAATGCAGAGCAGGAAGCCACTAACTTGATTAGCACAGACTTCTGCAAACTTAAAATATCAATATCTGGGTGAGAACTTCAGAAGCAGATGATAATGGAAAAGATGACTGTTGTCCCTCAGTATATCTGTCATCTTTTTTACAGGCAAGACCAGTTGCTTTTCCAGCTCTGAGTCTGTGACCAACTTGTTATAGACTATTAGGAACCTGTTTAGACGGGGGGAAGCTCCCCTTTGGTTCCTGGCCTCGAGTGAGGACAAATGAGGTGTAGATCCTTCCTCAGCAGAGTGGACAGGCATTGACAGACCACCAGATTGCCATTATTTACTTAACAATAGTTACTTCAAGAGAAGTTTTTGACTTAGTAGGGGGAAATATTCCTTGGCTAGGTACAGAAAGGCCAATGGAGAAGGGGGAAGGGTCTGCTAACCAGAGGCACATGTTTGTTGTAGTGCTGCTTGTAGGGTGAGATGGGGCAGTGTGTGCTAGTGCTCACGGTGGGGGCTACTCCTCTGCGGGGCTCATCTCTGCACTCCCAGGTGTGGAAGAGAGGGCATCTTCTCCCTCCCCAGCCCTGCCTCCCTTTCCCAAGAGCAGGGCTGTGATGCACTGCCTATGAGGGGTGTGGTTATGCTCTTTGGCAGCTAAGGAGCTGTCCCGCAGACTTGAGCTCAAGAGGAGAGCATGTGAGTCAACGTGCATATGAACACAGAGGAATACTGGGCTCCCACCCCCAACACCAATACATAACAGCTGCAGTCTCCTGCAGGTCAGAAAGCACTATAAAACGTTTCTTACAAAAGTATTTTTTTTAATAAATTGATGTATTTCAATGTTGTTAACATGGTAGCCCAATGCTATATCAAGGTAGCAAAAGTGAAGATTCCTGGTATTTTTTATATAAACACTATGAATGACAGTACATTTGCATTCAACTTCACAAGGAATCATCTTCAGGTTCATGAAGATCCTGTAACAGCTGTAACACCTTTCAAACCATGAAGACATATGTGTACGGAGCAGACAACGGAGCCTGGTAACTGAGCTGCACTCTAAGACCATGCTGAGGAGGGGGACAAGGGCAGCATGCCAGCTTGCTGAACAAAACCCAAGTCGTGTCAACTTAGTCACTGAAAGAAAATAGAGCCTGTGTCACAATTACAGAGTATCTTACAGAAATGTAGCCGTAAGAAGACACAGATTCGAACCCTGAAGCAGTGAACGCGTTTCTACCCGTTTTGTGAGGCAAAGAAGCCATGGAGACAGTCCTGCAGTGCCTGTAGTGCTCAGTCTCCTCACGCACACAGTGCTGTCACCTGGCTGAACCCAGAACTCCCCGCTCCGTGCAAATGCTGGTGAAGGTAAGTGCGCTATTGCTGTGGGTCAGAGCAATCGCTGGCGGGTCTCAGGCGTCCAGTGGAGGCTCTCTCGACTACTGCATCACCGCCTTCCACAATTCCACAGGCCACACTTTCCAAAGCGGATGCCCCTTTCTTAGGGTTGAAAAAAACATCAAGGGCACTGAAAACAAACAGTAGAAATCGGCAGCTTCTGACCCTCCACACTGCATGACTGTCCAGCCCACCAGGAGAAATACACCCCCTTGGTTACAACTACAGAGAGTATTGGCTTCATCACAGCACATGTATTTCAAAGACCAGATTTTTGATAAAAGATTTTTCTTAACAGAGATCAGGTTGAGAACAAGATTCTTTTCCTCCAAGGGCAAGAAAAGGCTGGTTAAATGCTAGTTAATTAAATCCATTCCCAATTTTGAAATGTAGAGAAAGAACTGAATTAAATGAGATTTTCTAAAGCACAGACATTTATTTCTCAACCTCAGGTGCAATCAGATGCAAGCAATGTCATGCCCAGAATTTTATCTGCTGACTGTTAGCGCGACAATTGGCCTTAGGCCACTACTTATTTCCTCTAGGGCCCTTTACGCTATTTTTAAACTCCAAATGCTGCAGACGAAAGTAAATACAACAAATAACAATGAAATCCTCTGTGTGCTGAGGATTCTGGATAAGCACAGATGGATGTTCCTGGCTTTTCACCAGAAGTTAACTAACGGCACTCCTTTAGTGTGTCGGTAACCCAGATTTAAACCATGTGTGTTTCCATGGATTAGGAAAAGTGGTAATCCCCCACATTATTAAAAAAAACCCCAAGTGAACGGCATCAAACACTTTTCACTAAGCTGGGTTTTGGTGATAGGACTCTTCTTTTAGTGAACAAATTCACTACTTGAGTCTTAGTCTTGTATTCTAAATCATTTTTAGACCTGAAGAAAGTTAACTTTTCATAAAGATCATATACTCCTTTCTTCTTTCTGTCACAACTGTCACAAGTGCTCTGCCCCCTAAAGAACTGAGAATCATCTGAAAGGCTTTCCTCTCCAGAAACAGAACAGTCAAAAGCATCAATTAGGTAAGTGGCTTCATTTTCCTCAGGTCAATGCTTACAACCCAAGGTTTATTTTCCCTATGAACAGGGTGTGCTTATGTTGATAAAATGAATCAAATCAGCTTATGCAAAAGTTAAAAATGTAGTTTACTGAAAGATATGTATCTTTACAAAGAGCAATAGCAAACAGTCCAATCTAGAAGTTTAAATAAAAGTAAACGACTTTAAAATTAACAATATATATAAAGCTGAAGTCACTGCCTTGGACAATTTATACACTGCATCCAATATTTTACGTAGGACATTCATTCTTAAGGCAGAAAAAGTGAATTTGACATGTAATGACTTGGGTCTTACATCCAAGGGTCAACTGGGAGTAGGCTTGAGCCGACAGATTCCTCGCCAGTGAGGACTTATCTGTGGTGACAATTTCATTCTTAGAGCATGTATGTAAGAGACATACATTCGAGAGAACAGAAAAAGATGAATTTTAAGACACACAAATATGGTCTTTCAACAGGAAGTCAATGAGACTACGCTTTCTATTGTGAGGTGAAACTACTCCCAGAACAAACTAACAAACTCGAACACACTCTTCCTGATGTGGTACATAAAATGTCTGAAATATCAAAGAATTGCCTTTTTGGAGAGTGTTCCTTTAGACTCTAGTTTTCAAGGTGTAGTATAAAAGGCAGCCTGAATAGTTAAAAGCAGTTGAATGTCAACTCACACTGCTACTCAGAAGGCTACCACGTAGAATATCCCACCCCGTCAACAGAACCCTGTGCAGGGAGGATATCAACATGTATTAAAATAAAACTGAAGCTCCCCAACACGTGTGCAAAAACACTCGTCAGTTACTAGCAAGAATATCTCTAACGAGAAACATCTTAGTTACAGAATCAGAGGCATCAAAACCAGACAGACACAAGAATGTACCACCCTGCCCAGGAGGACGGATGTCAGGGACGAAGGGAACTGCTCTTGGGACCTCAGAGACGTGCTCCTCGGAGGGGAGGGAGTGCGCGGAGGAAGGAGGCCCAGGCTCGGCTGCCTCCCATGCAGACCACGGCCCCAAGCCCAAGGGCTGTGTGCTCCTTCACCACGCTGCACCTCGAGGCCAAAACGTGACCCACAGCCCACCCAGAGGACAACTCGCCAGCAGCGACGGTGACTGGAACCGTGAGTACCTGTGTGCGCCTATTCGTGCCACAGCTCTGGCAACTGTCGCAAGTGTACAAAGATTACCCGCCTCCTTTGAAGACATGAAGATTTTCTTCTTTCACGGTGGCAGGAGTCCATGGGAGATTTGTAAACAGCGATACAAAATACTGTAAACATAACTTAACAGAGCTGGTATAAAACAGAAGTAAATCCAAATTTACAAGTGGGTAAAAAAGAGGGCAGCTTCACACAAAGTTCTCCCTCCTAAGTGATGTTTTTGATTACAAATATAATCCTGAGCTGAAGAACTGGGATATGGGGGAGAGCCATCGTTGCATACAAAATAGCCAGAGGACGCTTCTCTTCTACTTCTCTCTCAGGATATTCAGCTGCCGGAGACAGTTCTGAACGTGTGCCTTTGGAGCCGGTTATAGTTTAGTGTGGCGCCCGGGCCGGGGGCCTGCCGCAGTGCCCGCCATGGGAGTGGACGCGGCGGCGTCCTCCGCCTCCTCCAGTTCGTCCTGGAGTTCCTGGCTGACGCTCGACTGCAGGGCTGCGGGAGTGAGCCACTCCTTCGGGAGGCAACTCTGCAGGAAGGGGATGCAGGAGCTGAAGTAGGCCAGCCGATTGATCCAGCGAGGAATCTCTTTCCCACAGAGGATCTACAGAGGAGGAAGAGTTTTGCATTAGGTAAGAGAGGTTAAGGTGATTGGTCCACCGCCAAGGAGTGGAGGGCGGGGGAGCGAGGGGGAGGCTGGGAGAAGCCCCTGCATCCAAGCCTTTGACACAAGCAGCTCCCTGACTCAGGAGCCTGGGGCCCTATGTCAGCTCCATTCCTTCCTTTCTGAGGAAACTTGTCAACCTGCTTACTTTTTTTTTTTTTTTTTTGTGAGGAGATCAGCCCTGTGCTAACATCCGCCAATCCTCCTCTTTTTTTGCCGAGGAAGACGGCCCTGGGCTAACATCTGTGCCCATCTTCCTCCACTTTATATGGGACGCCGCCACAGCATGGCTTGCCAAGCAGTGCGTCGGTGCGCGCCCGGGATCCGAACCAGCGAACCCCGGGCCGCCGCAGCGGAGCGCACGCACTTAACCGCTTGCGCCACTGGGCCGGCCCCAACCTGCTTACTTTTCACATGTGTAAAATCAAGCTAATTCCCTTTGGCTCGTTTCTTCTTTGATCCTCTCAAGTGCCTTGGGACACGTGTAAAAGTACTCTGAACAACACAGGGGAAGACTCTTGTTAGTACAGGATATTCTCAGAGTAACGGAAGTGCAGGCCACTGAAGCAGCCCATCTCATTCTGCCATCTGTGACCCTCCTTCTTCAGACTCTCTCCTGCTCCCCCCAGTCTCTACCACTCCACTGTCCCAGGGCTGCCTTCTACCCCTTTACTTCTGTTCTTGACCCTCTCTTCCCAAGGAGCTCATGCTGGTGCAGACAAGCATCCTCCAGAGGCAGACCTGGCTCTGTGACCGGAGCAGACAGGGCTGTGATCAGAACAAGGCCTGGGAGCTGCCGCGCTTCAGTGTGAAGACGCCACCGGGGCAGCAGACGGAGAAACGGGGGCCGGGAGGAATCCCTCCCAGCTGATGATGGGCTGCAGCAATTCGCCCACCTCCCATCCTCATCCGGTCCATAGGACCCCTGAGCCCGCCCCCCGCCGACTCTGCACCCTCTTCCTATTTCAGAGTAAGAACTGGGCCTTTAACACAACTTGACTCTTTACTACCCTCCTTCCCCTCTGCAGACAACACTGGGCTTCACTGAGTCCAGCTCCACTGTCCCGTTGGCACTTCTGCCTCCATCATGGCCAAGATCACCATCACGTGATCTGAAGCACCATCTCTCTTATCGTAGCTGATGACTTTGGAAGAGGTTCCACAGTATCTTATGTCCAAAAATCAGCTAATATGTAGACAAGCTGGCACCTATAATTAAGCAACATAAATTTTCTCCCTAAAGGTTTAGCCCTAAGTCTTAATGGTTACACTGACTTTAAATACTACGTCTCTGTCTTAACTAAAGGGCAAGTGAGATGGTCTCACTTGAGGGAAAATGGCATGTTTTGATCATTTTTGATTAATCAGGCTGGGAGCAGAGAAAGGTAGACAGTACTTAAAGACATCTGAAGAACATGTACACGACCTAGATCTGGGGAAGCTCAGCGACCTAACATGAAACTACGCCCAGCTGCCTACTCTGAAAAACACATGCCAGTAAGTGTTCCTTTATACTTTAAACCCAAGACATATTTAGGGATATCTGCATATTTGAAGGGCAACCACAGAAGTGATGACTAGGAATATTTAGATTAATGTAACTGATTTTACTCAGTAATTTGCCTCCCTCTAAATATCCATGTGCTTCAAGGGAACCGACTTCACCCCAATCCCTGGGGGTATGGCTTGACTAGCCTAAGACAGAGTTCTGTAAACCACAGCCACCTGTTTTTGTAGATAAAATTTTATTACAACACAGCCATGCCCATTCATTTATTTATTGCCTATGGTTCTTGGGCTACAATGGCAGAGGCAGAGACGAGTCCATGAACAATCCACAAGCCTAAAATATTTACTATATGGCCCTTTCAGAGAAAATGTGCTGATCCTCGATCAAGCCGTCTTTTAAACTTTGAGTCAAGATCCATTAGTAGGTCATTCAGGGTTGTAACTTGAATTTTTAAAACGAAATAGATTGTAGATAATAGCATAATTGTGACATGTTTTAGTTATGTGTACATGTGTGTATAGACTAGGTCATGATGTAAAATATATTTATTACTGTGGGTAATGGTCAAAAAATATTTGGTTCATGTAGCAAAATTATTTTTGCATTTAAGCCTCAACTTACTATCCCAGAGACACACTGACAAAAATATGAAAAGAGGTATGCACAGAGTTATTCATTACAGCACTTTTTGTAAACAGCAAAAGACTAAACATAACCCAAATGTCATCAATAGGAAATTGGTTGAATACATTTTGGTACATCCACATGACGAGGACTATTCAGCTGTGAAAAGAATTGAGGAATATCTCTATATACTGCTACAGAATGAACTCCAGGATATATTAAGTGTAAAAAGCAAAGTAGAGAAAGTGTGTAGAGGATGCTCCTAAGATATACCGGTAGACAGGCACAGAGTAAGTTACAGACGTTCCCGTTCCAAAAGGGAGAACATGGAAGGAAGAAAGGATTCACTAGTCTCAAGCAATTTTGAAATCTGACTGGGCAACCTCCATCAGGTTTCAAGGTCTGGGAACAATCCTCTGTGGCCCTCAGTTCTGCCTTCTGGGCCCTTCAGGTTATCCTTTTTCTCCTGCCTGTAGAATTTTTGGAATCCAACAGCCTTCCTTCATTTTGTCCTCCCTCTGTCCTCTTCAGTCCAAGCTGTGTTTCTGCTAATGTAACATCCTCAAAAATGTTGTGCATCTCCTGTGTATGTCATAGGATTCACTCTATTAGACAAGAGGTTCCTCCACAGATATTTCCTGAAAAATCTCATCCCTACTCCTGGTTTCTGCTGAGATGGTTGAGAGGATCAATGAGTCTCTTCATATTTAATCTCTTCAGCAGCAGCAAAAAGTTATCCAGTCACACCCTGGGCCTTCTCTCCACAGTACACTTTCCTAACAGTAAAGTCCCTAATCTGAGCATCTTTTGCAATCTGGATAGGTGGAGAAATTCCAAAATCATCAAGTGCTGATTCCTTTTTCGTTGAATAGTTATTCCCTCAATTTATCTTTCTTCTGATGTTTTACTATAAGCACCAAGAAGAAACCAGGCCATTTCTTAAGACTTTGCTTGGGAATCTCCTCAGTTAAATATCCAACTTTATTGCTTAGGTTCTGCTTTCCGCATAACTGCAGGATAAGATTCAGCTAAGCTCTCTGGCAGCATATGACAAAGACTCCCTACCCCCGTTTCCAACAACGTGTTCCTCGCTTCCTCCCGAGCCTTCGCCAGAGCACCTTTAATACCTGTGTTTCTACTAACAGTCTGTTCAAGGTAATCGAGGCTTTTTCCATCAAACTCCTCAAAAGTGCCCCCACCTTCATCTAGCACCTAATTCCAAATACTTCCACATTGTTAGGTATCTGTTCTAGCAGCATCCTACTTCCAGGTACCAACATCTGTATGGCTTGTTATGGCTGCTTTAACAAATCACCAGAAACTTAGTGGCTTAAACAACTCATTTTTTTTCTCTTACAGTTCTAGAGGCCAAAGAAGGAGGGTAGAGGGCAGTGGACATTTAGAAGTTAGATGTTTATGAATACATTTTGGTTTTTTTAGATTTGAGTTTGGAACCATGGAAAGATTTTATATAACACAAAATTAAATTAAACAAAAAAGCAGCCTGGCCCAACCAAAAAAAAGGATAAATGAAAGGACCCTAACTGTGTATTGAGTTGGTGGCATAACCACACAGAAAGAAATTAATCCAATTAACTGCAAAACACTGACTGTTATCTCTACTGAGCCATACTCTAAAGACAGAAAGAACTGTAAAAAAAACTTCAACTTCCCAGTAATCATATTGTTGGTTGTAGTAGTGACATTATTATTCTAAGGCTGTTTTAGGTATAGAGAGATAAAACAAATGAGTAATTATGTTGTTGTTGAGAATTGGGATTTTATACCCAGGACAGAGAAAATATAGATACACTATTGATGAGGTTAAGTAAAAATCCTATAGACTGAGTTTGAAGTAGAAATATCACTATGAACCTGTAAAAAAAATCCTAGCTCTGTCCATTGGAAAAAAAATCCAGAAAATTATCACCAGTTCAGTAGCAATGAGCAACCCTAATGCCCAGATTAAGATTTCTAAATATTTCCTATTAGATAAAAAAAAGTTCTGAAGCAGGAAATATATAGATAAGCCTGGAATATTCTGTCATACCAAAAAACAAAAAGGCTATCAAAGATTATTAGGACCATATCAAAAGACTCAGGAGCCAACTTGAAGAAGCACCCACCAACCAAAGATGGGATGAGAACAGTAACTGCACTGAACTGAAACACAGCAAATATTTTTAAATCTGTGGAGGAGGGGAAATCCATAATGATACTAAATTTAAAAAAACTGGCTAGCTTTGGAGAATGCTAGGTAAGTGTGTCAGGGGCACAGGTGTATTCACAGCCATGATCCATTACAGAGAAGGGACACAAAACAAAGTCAGCCGGGAAAAGGTGCATGGGGCCAAGTCCAGCCAGGCACAGGCTTTCCAAGGCCCTCTCCCAGTGGAGCCACACAGGATACACTTAACCACCCCAGGAAAAGCCGTGACAACACATGTGAAATGTCCTCTAGAGAAGCTTGTTACAGAGCCAGTGTCCAGGCTTTGTATTTGGGCCTGGCCACGCAGGTACCCTCTCCTTTGCAGGTACCATAAGTCTGATTCCCAGAGCCTAAGTAGGTACTCAGCACAAACCACACTGTTTGTACAAACAGGCCAGGCACAGTGAGCCACGCTTGCTCTTGCTGGGAATGGCGGGAACCCTCCCGTAAAATCAAGTTCTCAGATGCCATCCCAGGCCAACCTTGTCAGCAGCAGCCTCAGACCTGTTTTGTTAACATTTTTTTGCACAGTTTACTCCCTTGGCCAAGCTGTTACAGCAAAAATTATCAAAGGATCCCATGCAGCAGCGAGACCAACCTGAGATACTGATCTCAGTTATACTCTTTAGGGCTCCTGGACTTAACCAGTTAACACAAATCCCATTCACCATCAAGGTTTATTTTAGACAGTCAGGAGTTTTGCTCAAGTTTTGCTATGAAACCTTCTTCATCTGCCCTGAGGCATCAGTTGAGGCACAGCACAACTCCAGCCGGTAAACTGAAGTTGACCTGAGAGGTCTTCAGGGCTGAGGCAGTGTCACTGATGGTCAGGGTGCACCCAAAAGTAGTCAGATCCCAGAAGGCACATGCGGTACCTTGGAAACTAAGTTTACAATGTTGGGGCACCCCAAGCAGGGCACACATTAGGCAGTATAAGTGAAAAGGGCCCCCAGTGTGCTTTTCCCAGTGTGAGTACTGTGTCCCCTCAAAATTAATGTTGAAACCCTAACTCCTAATGTGATGGTGTTAGGAGGTGTGGCCTTGGGAAGGTGATTAGCTCATGAGGGCTGGGCCCTCATGAATGGGATTAGTAGTGCCTTTATAAAAGAGGTCTGAGCGCTCCCCACCCCTTCCGCCACGTGAGGACACAGCAAGAAGATGGCCTGTGAACTAGGAGCAGACCTCACCAGACACCAACGTCTGCCAGTGCCTTGATCTCGGTCTCTCCAGCCTCCAGAATTGGAGAAAAATTTTTATTATTTCTAAGCCACGCAGTCTATGGCATCTTGTGACAGCAGCCTGAATGGACTAGGACAGGGCTTCCTGCTCTAGGGTTTCCCAGCTAGTCTGAAAAATGAGTTGAATCTTGGTTTCAGAGGGACTGGTGGAAGGCAGTTAGTTGTCAACAGCTCTGTCTGGCCCTGACCCTAGGCCATCAGCCTCATCAGTGGGAAGACATCTGTGCGCGATCTGTGTGGACAGTGCAGGAGCCGGGCCACCCTCCGCTGTCTCTTGGTCAGCACCGTCAGTGTGCTCACAGTCCTGCTGAATTCAAAGGGCCTGCAGGGGCTCAGAGGCAAAGTGCGAAGTCCTTCTTCAGGAAGAGGACAGAGGCAGCACAGGCACGCATCGCATGATGACGTTTTGGTCAACGATGGACCACATACACGACAATGGTCCCATAGGACAGTGTCATACAGCCTCGGTGTGTAGTGGGCTACACCATCCAGGTTTGTGCAAGTGCTCTCTGTGATGTTCACACAATGACAAAATCGCCACACGACACACTTCTCAGAACGTATTCCTGTTGTTAAATGACACATAACTGTTGGGAATCACATATCATGTTAGGAATTGGTCAGGATTAAATCCTGAATTTTCACAAAATTTCAAAATGGGTTTATCTAGCCGCCAACCCCTTTATCCTGATCATTTATCTAGTGAATAGCCTAGAGAAGAGCATTCTGTTTCTGGGGACAGCTGCATTTAGTCATCCAACTGCCTTACCCAGGTGTGTGCAGCAGGAGAGGGTGGGAGAAGGAGAGCTGGGCTGAGTCCACTGCTGCAAACCAGTCCAGAAAGCCCTTAAGTGAACTGCACTCCTTGTCCCGAGAGGGGTCGAGAGCAGGACCTGTTGGGAGCAGGCAGAGGGGCCAAGTCCTAGTGATGTGCTTTCCCTCAACTCACTGCTTTCCGCAAAAACCACAAGTTAGGAGTGCACTCAGTCTCTGCATTAGAAATACAGAGCTCATCAGCAGCTTGATTCAGATGGTTCCAGTGCAGAAAGAGCCCTCTCCTATGGACACCTGCAAGTGACCCAGCCGGTTCAGTCAACATCCACATTTTCAGTTTAGGGCCCCACACGTGGTGTCCCACATCTGCACTGGTCCCCAAGAAGCCTGCTCCCTGAGCCCACACCTGCTTTCACCTGAGCCCAGCTCGTGCTGAGGTGGAGACAGAGCAGGGTGGCAGACAGTGTCAGGTTTTAGCTTAGGAGTCAAGTCCAAGCAACAGGAATCGTGAACTCATGATTTCAAAAAAAGCCCAGGGCTTTTCTTTGGCAACAGTAAAGCCAAGATACTGCAGGGCCAGAGAGCCAGGTTTCTAAGTTCACGTGACATGCGAGGCTTTCCTAAGCCCTTTCTGAGACCCACTCAAAAATATGCACATCAGGCTAAAAAATCATCAGCCTCTACGGGTCAGACATCTGATTTTACAAGAGCTCATTAGCAACTAAAAACTGCTTTTTAAAACTTTAAAAGTACATTTCCATCTTGAGATTGTCTTTTTTACGTTGTCTCCCTTTCTCAAGAGGCTGCAATAGGCAAAAACCATAGTAAAAATCATCAGTTATGGAGACATTTTCTTTTAATATTTGAAGGATTTAAATTTCCATCCACCCCATGGCAGCAAAAAGCAAGGAAGTTATGTCCCGTTAACACTTTTTCTTTGCAGCATTCCGATTGAGGTGATCCCTGTGTTGATTACAAGCATAAAACATTTGGTATCAATTTCTATTCCATAGCTGCAATAACCATACAACACAAAGCCATCAGAAATTTCCCCTCTCTTTCCTCATTGCCAATTTACTCAGACTCCAAGCAGTAAACTGAGCACATACAGGTCTATCATGACAGCCGTGGGGGGCGATCCTAGCTGGAACGGGGAGCGCCCCCGCAGCGGCGAGGCTGAAGACAGACGGAGGCCCCCACTGCCCGCTCTTTACTTGGCTCCAGCCCTGGGAACTGATTAACCAGTTGTCCTCCACCTGGAGGCGACAGCCACGCCAACGGTGAGCATTTTGGGCTCACCCCAAGTTCATTGCGGGGAATTCTGGGGCCTGTCTCTTCCTACCCGGAGGAGAGCACAGAAGCCGGAGGTGTCATGGGGCCGCACTTCTTGTCCTGTACTTCACCACATGGCCAGACTGGCCAGGGCTCCAGCCAGCCAGCGTCCTGGAGCTGACCGCTCACTCTCTAATCCATGGGTACCTCTCCACCTCTCACAGCAGCAGCTCAACTGCTCTCTTATCGTGGACAGCTCCCCAGCCACCTGGGCACCCAGGGACCGCCACCCCCAGCCCTTCACCCTTTCTTCTCTCCAACAGTCCGTCAGCCCCAGCTCAGTGAGTCAGCACACAGTCATACTCATGGCTGTGACTTATTACAGCAAAAGATAATAAAACAAAATCAGCAGGGGATAAGGCACAGCGGGTAAAGTCTAGAGGAAACCAGGAGCAAGCTTTCAAGGGTCTTCTCCCAGTGGAGTCACACAAGACTCGCTTCATTCCCCCAGCAAGGAGCTGCAACACATGTGAAACGCTGCCTACTAGGAAAGCTCATCACAGACTCCGTGCTCAAGATTTCTGTTGGGGGCTGGTCACGTGGGCACTCTCTGCCTGGAACGTACCAAAGTTCCAGATTCCCAGAAGGAAAGCAGATGTTCAGCTCAAACCAAACTGTGTGAACAAACAGGGTAGGCACAATGAGCCCCTCTTATCAGTTCTGGGAATCGTGGGAATCTTCCGGAAATGCAAGTTCCCAGATGCCAGCCAGGGGCCCACCTTGAAGCAGGCCTTTCCAAGGACAGCAGTCCAGGTCGGCTATGTTCCCTCTTCTGCACAGCACAAGAAACCATTCATTTCTGAAGACTGTTAAGTACAGGGAAAGAATCAAGCATCTATCCTGCCTTTCCTATGTGGACTGTACCCCTGCGTGACAAGGCGTTTGGGCTTTATTTAAATCCCAATTCAAACAAATTGTTAAAAAATTATGACAAGGAAATTTCAACATTGTATATTTGGATAATACTAAGGAATGAAAGTTTATTTTTTTAGGTGTGATAACGTATTGCAGTTATGTTAAAAAAGAATCCTTATCTTTAGAGCTACAAAGTAAAATATTTACAATTGAAATGAAATGATATCTGGGATTAGTTTCAAAAGTAATCTAGGGCTGAGAGTGGCATTCTGGAATGGGTGCTTACAGATGAAACAAGACTGGCCATGAATTGATTTTTGAAGCTAAGTGATACATATATGGAGGGCTCATTATACTGTTCTCTCTACTTTTATACATGTTCTGAATTTTTCACTAAAAATATTAATTTACAAAAGGTATTTAGACCAGCGGCATTTAGTAATGGTAATGCCACTCCACTTGCTAGTGACTGGTTTAGAAATGGGCATTTGGAGCCAGTCCTGATGACCTAGTGGATAGAGTTCAGCATGCTCCACTTTGGCGGCCTGCGTTCGGTTCCTGGATGTAGTAGCCATGCTATGGCAGCAGCTCACGCAGTATAACTAGAAGGACTTACAACTACAATATACAACTATGTACTGGGGCTTTGGAGAGGAAAAAAAAAAAAACAGAGGAAGATTGGAACAGACATTAGCTCAGGGTGAATCTTTCCCAGCAGAAAAAAAAAAAAAAGGAATTTTGCTAACTTCTTAAAAAAAAAAAAAAAAAGAAATGGGGCATTTGACCCAATTCTGGTCATGAAACATGGCCTGCTTTTGGAAAGGTTGGGAGGTTCTGGAAAAAGTCTCCCTGTTCCTCAGAGAGAACCAAAGAGAGAGACGGACTTTTTTTCTTCCTCCAGATGTTGTTGTATCTGGATACGGTGCATAAAATTGTTGCAGCTACCAGAAAACCATAAAGGGAGCTGGCCTGAGGGCACAGGCAACATCCTAAGGATGGCAGCTCAGAGATGAGAAGACCTTCGGGGGCTGACGACACACACTGCTGAGACACTGACCATTCCGACACGGAGCATGCCTTACTCTGGACTTCCTGTTTTGTGAGATAAAACGTTTCCTCATTGTTTAAGCCAATCTGAATCAGATTTGAATGAATCTAACCTGTACAGCAGGGGTTAGCAAACTTTACCTGTAAAGGGCCAAACAGTAAATACTTTAGGGTTTGCGGGCCATATGGTCTCTGTTGCAACTACTCCACTTGGCCACTGTGGACTGAAAGCAGTCAAGATGACAGGTAAACAAATGAGCATGGCTGTGTTCCAATCAAACTTGATGGATACTGAAATTTAAATTTCATACTGTAGATTCTTCTGACTTTTTTTCAACCATTTAAAAATGTAAAAACCATCTTTAGCTTGCAGGTCATATGAAACGTAGGCTGGTGCTGGCACGCAAGTTGTGATGGTCTGCTAATCCCTGTCATAGAGGAAGCATCTGAACTGATAACTGTGATGTTAAGTGATGATAATTCTTAGAATTTTTGGAACAGTGTTGAACAACAGAATACCTATATCAACAATCAGTTACACTTATCTATGATTCTGTCTATCTACAACTGGTTACATGACACACATCTTCAAACTCTGCTGTCAAAGATGTGAAAGCACGTTGGGTTTATTAAACTCTTTTAGAGTGCCTAACATTAAATTTGTTTGCCTTGATTATTGGGGTTTACCTAAAACTCTTACAACCCTCACTACCCAGAGTTCTAGTCTCAGCTCTGTCACTAACAACCAGGTGGCCTTGGCTAAGTCACTTAACTTCTGAGTCTCAGTTTCTTTAACAATTCAGCACTTCTATGAGGAAAACATGAAAACTGTGACGTAAAAGGATGGCTCCAGGGACATCCAGAATTGCTCTTTGGGCCCCCCGCTGTAACATGATTTCAGAGTTAGACCAGGGCTGAGGTGGTGTTACAGATGCTCAATAAAGCTATTATTTATTTGGGAGAGAGAATAAACCAGAACCAGAGGAAGGAATGATAAAGTACAATAAGCACTGGACTAAGGGGCCAGGGTCTAATCTGAGTTCCTGCTGATAAGTCATTTCCCCAATCGGGGCCTGTCTCCTTCTCTGCAAAATGAGGAGACTGGACTAAGTGCTGTCTAATCTCTCTACCAATTTTAACATTCTATGGATCTCTGAATGCGATCCCTACAAATGTAACGTCCAGGGTTGAGAAAGCCCTGAACCACCTTCCCTCTTCCCTGAAAATCCCCAGGTCACCTCTACAGTATCAATGCATCCATTAGACTGGTGGTGCTTCACCAACTTTTACGATCATGTGAATCATCTGAGGATGATAATGTTGAAAGGATAATGTTAATATTAACATTATGGATAATGTTAAAAGGATAATGAGGATAACGTAAAAAGGAAGATTCTGATTCAGTACATCTGTGCTGGGGCAGAAAGGATGCATATCTCACAAATTCCTAAGAGATGCTGATGCTGCTGGTCCTCAAAACACACTCTGAGAAGCAGAGCCAGAATCCACTATGGTCCTGCTCGAAAGCTGTGCTGTGAAGGCCGTGAGGGAAACGAAGAGGCCAGGGGGCCCAGCACCCTGCAGAGGGGTTCGCTGACACAGCTGTGCATTTTCCCCTTGACACCTTCACAACGTCTGCAGTTCCTGATGCTGTCACTGCCACCACGTGCTAAGAGCCAGAAGCTGGGAAGCTGTTTCAAGTGCTATTTAATTCTCTAGACCCAGTTTTATAACCTTCTGATTTCTTCCATTTTATTTTTTAAGGTCCTTTAATTTTGATCTCGTTTTGGTCTTCTGCTTGGGATTCAAGAATTGGAAAGACAAATTAAGTGCCTGGGTGATAAAGCAGGCAGAATAAAATTTCAAGATAGGAGAAATGAATTACTTATTAATAAGTAAGAGCCAGGAAAAAAATTCAAGTTGGCAACTAAAATTTAAGAGAAGAGGAATCTTAGGGGCTAAGAAGCAGAAGTCACAAAGGCATTAATTTTTTTAAAGTGAACGTTTCAGGTTGTAATAAAATGAGCTGGAATAAGAAGAGACAATTATCTGTACTCACTCGCCACCCACTGCAAAGTCATGAACAGAACTACAAGTTAAAACTGTGCTGACTCTGAAGTTACCAACTTGGGAAAGGTCGCTCACATAACAGAAAGAAATTTAATATCATATTTTAGACAACATGAAGACTCTGAAAAAAAAATATCGATTGACTATAACAGGACAGCAAGTATGCTAGTAAATATTACTTATTTGAAGAACTTCTAGGATACAATTTAATTTACCTCTGATAAAGCCGAAGAAAAGTGATTGCAGTTTTTATGCATCAAATGATAGGCGTTGCCTTTGTATTCTTTTCCCAGTTCTTCTACAATTTTCTCTATGTCATCTTCTAGGAAGTCAGTGCTCCCTAAAACAACAGCTTCTCTTAAAGAACAAAAACAAAAACAGAAAGAAAAAAAAGAAGACACCTGCGTGAGTTTTAGGTATTTATAAAAAGCATGTTTAAAGACTTGCTTATTTCCAGGAATATTATGATTGATGTAACAAAGCAGGGTTAATGTAATAAGACTATACGGTGAATGAGATACTTGTAAAATTCAATTATTTTAGTTATTACTTTTCTGCAATAAACTCTTAAGCACACTACGTCTGAATAATACAAATGCAAAATAAGTCATTTTCTTTAAGAAACAATGTCATTATACTATACATGTAATATCACAGTTATTTTTACAGCTATTGTGTCAGTAGTTACATTTCAGAGGACCAGATCCACGCTGCAAATATTCCTGCGTAACTACACTCATCATCAAAGGCTGGCCTGTTCTCACTTAGAGAATCTTTTAAGCCATCTGCCACTGTGCTGCAATGAGATGAACTGTCACACAACGACATTCTTAAGCATTATACAACTTCCCCTAAAACAAACCAAAACACAAACAGCACCCCACCTTCAAAAAAAACTACTACCCTGGAAATGAAATACACATTTTATGTAATAGAAAGTAGAATTTTAGTCAGATACAAGTTAGGCATCCAGGAAAGCTGAAAATATTTAGAAAACTCTTTTACCTAGTAGTCTTGCCAAAAGGGAGACCTAACGGACAGATTCAGGATGGCTGTATTACAGCACTCCTGTGTGTAAATGTTTCAAATTAGTGACAGGCTAAGAGAACCACGAATTTAGTAGCGATAACAATGAGTAGCCCTGTACTGAATTTCAATGTTATAACCTCATTTCACTATTTTTCACTTGGCAAGTTAGCTATTATAGGCCCAGAAGTTTCTTTAAAGCTTTTCAAAACTAAGGTCTAAATATCACTTTAAAAACAAACCTTAATTAAGGAATGGAAATTTGATAAGCAGCATTCAGATTCTCAGTGCTGTTTACTACTCATTAGGCTCCTGAGTACACTCATATCCATACATTTTAGGTTTATCAACACATGTAATGCATGTATGTACCTTAACAACAGTTTCCCGGCTAATCATAAACAGTGTCCCGTTCATTGGGAAAATGAAGAGATTTTTAATCATGGTAGGGAGGACACAATAAAACTTTCCTCCATTCCTCCCCAGATAGGAGACTGACAGGAAGCAATCATTAGATACGAACCTTTTCTAAAGCAGAACCTGAGTTATACCAAGGTAAAAACATTTTAAAATTATTTAAACACAGAATAACTTTTATGGATCCTGACTAAAAGCAACAGATTTGGGCCGGCCCTGTGGCTTGGTGGTTAAGTGCGCGCGCTGCAATGCTGGTGGCCCGGGTTCGGATCCCGGGTGCACATCGAGGCACCACTTCTCCGTCCATCCTGGGGCCGAGTCCCATATACAGCAACTAGAAGGATGTGCAGCTATGACATACAGCTATCTACGGGGGCTTTGGGGGGAAAAAATAAAATAAATAAAATCTTTAAAAAAAAAAAAATAAATAAATAAAAGCAACAGATTAGCTTATTTTAAGTACTTTATCTGGCTGATTCCCATATTTATACAACAACTTAGATTCGATTTTAAAATAAATAAAGTGTCAGCAACAAAACAACGTTCAAGAAACATTTTAACTTACTTGATTTTAATCTACACAATTCATTCTGTATGCCTGAGAACAAGCTTTGGCATCTAAGACAGTGTAATAAAAATTATCCTCCCTACTTACTTAAATTTAAAGGTTTCTCCTAGTTCAGAAGCATTTCCTGGGGAAATTTCAAATATTCCAGAAAAGGGGTAAGGATGGCCACCATAAGCAAATTCTGAAAAGAGAAAACTCATGATTTTTAGCATTTATCACACAAAATTTAATCAGAATGCTGAATTAGCTTTAATAAATGAGGAGGATAATAATACCATCTGAATATTTCTCGGTTTATTAATGCTTTCATAAACGTCTCATTTAGCTATAACTAGCATAGAACAGTTGACACAGAAGACCTGAAACTCAGATAATGAAGACACAAATGTGATTCATGTTGTTTACATGGCAGAGGAGGGTGACTCCCACTCAAAGGTGAACAGTCTGCCCATCTACCTATCACGCCAAACCAAGGAGGGGGTCAGGTCAGTGTTTTGCCACTGTCTAAATTAAAGTGATCAAATTTCAAACTTGTACTTTACTGGAAAAACTGTCTAATAACAATGAGTTTTCATGGTTCCTGAGATGAAGACTCTTGGTTTATCTTTGAGTAAGAGTGAAACATCAGCAAACCTGAGAAACTGAATTCAATTCCCCTCATTCAAGAAAAAAGAAGCTGCCAAATGAACACACACACCCACCCACATCCAGACACACAGACTCTCCACAGCACATCTTTTAGCCAGGAGAGAACTATTGTACTATAGTGAACAGCTGCCCAGGCTCATCAGACACAAGCTCTCTTCCAGAACAGAACTCAAGAATGCTTTCAAATCAGGAAGGAACTAAAATTTCGGGCTACAATTCTGATATGAGATACTTAGGTATTTAAGTGGCAAATAGCAGCAGACTTATTTAAAGAATTCAAAGCAAACGTTTAAATTAATCTCATCACTTAAAATTTATTAAATATTGGGGCCGGCCTGGTGGCGCAGTGGTTAAGTTCGTGTGCTCTGCTTTGGTGGCCTGGGCTTCACAGGCTTGGATCCTGGGCGCAGACCTATGCACGGCTCATCAAGCCATGCTGAGGCAGCATCCCACATACAAAAATAGAGGAAGACTGGCACAGACGTCAGCTCAGAGCCAATCTTTCTCAGCAAAAAAGAGGAAGATCGGCAATGGATGTTAGCTCAGAGCCAATCTTCCTCAGCAAAACAAAAAAAATCAAAATCATTAAATATAATCTTAAAAGGTCTTAGAACAAATCACGTGAAAGAACAAGGCAGATACTAAGTTGACTTTTGATTCAGACCTTTCAGAAAAAAAGCAATGATGTAGGTAAGAAATTATGTTTAGCATTCAATTTTGAAATACACATTTTTCAATTTTTTAATGATGGAATTTTATAAAACATTGTAGATAATCACGTTGGACATGAAAAGATTATGTTTGGATTTTAACTTTCTCAATTAAAGCAAGGGAAGTCGGACCCATTTACTCCTCTGTTCACGACGCAATCATTCCCTTTCAGGAACGTATTTGGCCCTAGGTTTGCTAAGCTTACGTGGACGTGTTTTGAGCCATGTTTCTAATTACTCCTAAATCATTTTATGAATGAGAGCAATGATTAGGTAGATAAAAGAGCAATGCACTGGTATAAAAGAAGACTTGGGCTCAAGCCCTAGTTCTGGTAACTATTGCTGGTGTGGTTTTCAGCAGGTCTGAACTGGGTCTCTTCGTCTGAAGGATGGAGAGAATGCCACACGCCCTTATCTGTCTCACAGCAGCATCGTTATGCGGGTCAAAACTTGATGCACTTTAAAAACTCTGAGACACCACACCAAGTCAGTTACAAAGGAATACACACACCTTTGTCAAACGAGGGAGCAAACCCACAGGCTCCGATCCCACCCACAGCAACACTCCAACCACTGAAACTCTCTGAAGAAGCTTCTTACTTCTTCTTGGGATTACTTGGTAGATGCAGCCTTTCACGTAAAAGCAGCTTAAACAGCAGATTTTTTTTTTTGTGAGGAAGATTGTCCCTGAGCTAACATCTGTTGCTAATCTTCCTCTATTTTTTGCATGTGGGACACCACCACAGCACGGCTTCATGAGCGGTGTGTAGGTCCGTGCCTGGGATCAGAACCCACGAACCCCCAGGCCCCTGAAGCCGAGTGTGTGAACTTAACCACTACGCCCCAACAGCAGATCTTTATAACCAACATTTAATATGCTACACTGTACCTGGAAGCGGCTAATGTGGAATATAAACAAGGACAGTGTAAGCACGCACTGACATAGTTAAGTAAACTAGACTTTTCTCTGTATTAGCTAAAGCTGGTATGTGGTTTTTAGAGGTAACTGAGTCAAGTGCAGTAACATATCCTAGAGGTCACAAAGACCGCCAAGCTAAAGCAAATAAGGCACCTGCGCTATAGGGTGAGTTTATGACTCATGATGAAGTCGGCCGTGTGATCTGTCTTATGCAGACCATCACCGCTTACAACTCGATCAGGAGTAGATGATCCTGTACCGAGGGGGAATCAGAATAAAGAAAAGAGCTGCTCAAAACAGAGCTGCTTGGCTGGAGTGGCTCCTGTCATGTTTTCCATAATAAAGGGTGTTACAGAATGCAAAAGGCTGGGTTAAGGACAAAGGCCATCATTCTTGAGCAAAAAGCTAAATTTAATCAAGGGCAGGATTTGCTCAGCGATATTTTAAAACTGTGTAACTATTCACTTGTAGGTCTGCAAAAACAAATCTATTACTGCAATTCCCTCAGGAAACTGGTGTTTCATGTTGACACTCACTGGTATCAACCCTTTTCCAACCAAAATGATTGTTCTTACCACACTATTTTTCAAAATGTAAGGTTTCTTAGGAACTCCAATATATATTAGAGCAAAACTGTCATGGTATAATAAACTCAAAAGGAAAATATTTTTTAAGACGTAGTATTTAAAATAAAAGATAACTAAATGAATATGCAGTCATGTACTTTAAGTATTTTCTCCCCAAATACATTCTACTTTGGGCATTTTTCCAAAATGCAGCATAAACAAATATGGGGAGATTTTCTTCTCCTTTCTACAATAAAATTAAAAAAACGCACTATAGTTATGATTTTGCAACTCCTTTAAAGGACAAAAATCTTCAGAAAGTATAGATAGTGTGTATCCACGTACCTCTGCCATATACTTCAATTCCTGAATGAAAAACTCCAATTCCAATGGATGAGGTGTATTCGTTCATCCAGTACTAAGAAGAAAAGAAAAGATTCAGAATATCTGCTCATTTACAACTCAACTCCCCATTACAGGAAGCTACTACTCCCCAAATCTTTCACTGCACATTTAGGTCTTTCTAATCCCATTTCTTGGTATTTTTCCTTACAGCTCTGAAACCCCCATGACAACGACCCACTTGGTCCTATCTTTGTGCCTTTGCCTGTGCCACAGCCCACGTGGAACGCCTGCCTGGGTCACAATGAAGGTCTCCACTTGCGTACAAGCACATTATCTAAGGTTTAGGGCATAAGCCACAAAACCTAAACCTGGTGAGGCTGGAAAAAAATTGATACAAAAGCTCTCCTGCTAGTGACTTAAAAAAAATCACATATAATGTCTGCTTTCATATCTATTTTTCTTCTATTTTAAGCTTTTCCTTTCCTTCTCTGGTGAGCTCCCTGAAGACAGGGATATTTTATTCTTTTTAAAACAACATTTATGGCATATATGTCCTGATTCAGCTCGAAGTTTGATAATGACAGTACAGGAATAAATAATATGAGGAACAAAGGTTAGAACAATCTTCTTACTGTTGGCATGAATGAAAATTTCCCAGAAAAGGTGATATCTGAAGTAGGGTGTTTAGACACATATGAGATTTCCTAGATAGAAAATTTGGGGGGTAGGGTAGAGGGGAATGGGAAGAAATGCCAGGAAGAGGGAAGAGGATGCACACAGGTAAGGTGGTCTGAAATGATGGGGGGACCGTGAACAGGGTTGAGAAGGGATTGGAGAGGGTTACGCCCAGGAGAAGGTGCGTGAGTTAACAGCTCATTACACAAACTCTGAGGTAACACTTAACAGTGTTACAAACCTATCGGATTTCTCTCAGGTTAGAGGATAGGTAATTGGTCTTTAATTTTTCTAGGTTTATTCAAGTCTTAACCTTGGCTCCAGACTTTAGCCCGTTTCTCCCAGACCTGGGAAAATGCACATTCCCATACACTGCAGGAGGAAGCATAAATGGATAAGTTGGGCTTTTTTCCTAAAATGTACCTGGAAGAAAAACCAAGCTATAATAAACAAGAAATATTTGAAAAAGAGCAAAGGACTTTCTCATCTATATATAAAAAATATTCATTATGGGGCCGGCCCTGTGGTGCAAGCGGTTAAGTGCGCGCCATCCGCTGTGGCGGCCCAGGATTCGCCGGTTCGGATCCCGGGCGTGCACCGACGCACTGCTTGGCAAGCCATGCTGTGGTGGCGTCCCATATAAAGTGGAGGAAGATGGGCATGGATGTTGGCCAAGGCCGGTCTTCCTCAGCAAAAAGAGGAGGGTTGGCAGATGTTAGCTCAGGGCCGATCCTTCTCACAAAAAAAAAAAAAAAAAATCATTAAAACAGTACGTATGGTACTGTTGCAGGAACAGATCCTTGTATGTATAAGAATCTGTATGAATCTGTATGATAAAGGTGGTATTTAAAATTAATGATAAATTATTAAAAATGTGTTGACAAAACTTACTATGCATAAAAATAAATTCCACGTATCAAAAATTCTGGTGTCTAAAAATAATATACTAGAAAAAAATTTAATTAGATTGAAAAAAATCTTAGATGGGAAAAGGCAACCTAAGTAAAGCAAAACCTAGAATTTATAGAGGAAAACAAGATACTCAACATAAACATTTACAACTTTTTATTGTGTAAAACTACATAAACAAGATCAAAAGATAAATCACACACAGGGAGACAACATTTGTAACACACATAACGAAGATTAGTACGAGAATACAAGTCTCCCTCTCTATCTACTTTATCTGGTTCCTGATCATGGACAGCCAGAATTTGAATGGCAAGTAAGGAAAGTGAGGGATACCTTTTTATCTGAATTTGTATTTGGATGGAGAGTAGTGACAGTGCACAGAGCAAGGAATTCCTCACAACATTTATCCAATTCTACTGAATTTCAGAGTTTGGGCAGCAAAAGTTCAGACAGCAAGGGATACTGCATATAAAAGTGCCATTAAAAAGAAAAAAAACCCTCCAGGGCCAGCCGGGTCGTGCAAGCGGTTAAGTGCGTGTGCTGCGCTGCAGTGGCCCGGGGTTTGCCAGTTCGGATCCCGGGCGTGCACCGACACACTGCTTGGAAAGCCATGCTGTGGCGGCGTCCCATATAAGGTGGAGGAAGATGAGCATGGATGTTAGCCCAGGGCCAGTCTTCCTCAGCAAAAAAAAAAAAAAAAAAGAGGAGGATTGACAGATGTTAGCACAGGGCTGATCTCCTCACACAAAAAAAACAAAAAACAAAAACCAAAAACCCCACAGACAAGTGAGCCATCATAGAGGAAATCAGTGGCCAACAAACATGAACTAACAGTTGTACTAGTAACAGAAAAATACTAATTAAAACAATAAGCTACCATTCCTTTTTTAATCCATCAGATTGGCAAATATAAAAAATACTGCTAATTCTTGGTGTTGGTAAGGGTGTGAAGACAACACTGCAGAAGCCTGAATCAATGATGGGTAATGAATCACTCCACCTCCTGAAGCCTATTCTACAGAAATACCTGAACACACGCAAAGACATGCCCAGGATATTAACTGCAGTTGTCCATAAAGCTGAAAACAATCTAAATATCAGTAGGGGAATGGTTAAATAAATTATGGTACATCCATATTATGAACTATCATAGAGCTACTAAAAAGAATGCGATAACTCAATACATATGGACGTAAAAAGATATCTAAGATACAAAAAGTAAAAAGCCCAAGTCATAATATATTATCTGTAGCATGATCATATTTTTGTAAAATAAATAAGTATGCCCTATGTATGTTTACATGCTAAATACAGAAAAATAAAACAAAACCACCATCAACTACAACTAAAGAAGGTGTGAAGCATACAGATCAAGCTGCTACTAGTTTGGGGGAGGGGACTAGACATAGCTGGGGTAGAAATGGAGTATAAAGGGACACTTGCACTTTTAACTCTATATATTTCAGGATTGTTTTTCTAAACTTTTGAAGAATGTGTATTACTACTTTTATAATTAGAAAAATATTGTTTTAAAGTAAAATACTATACTCTATTAGCTTAACAGGTTTTAATTTATTTGCATCTTTATACTATCATAAGAGAATAAGCTGTAAATATACAAACCACCGTAAGCACAAAGTTATTAACTGCAGTATTATTTGTGTTAGCAAAATATTGGTAACAACTTAAATGTGCGCCTATAGGTACTGATTGAATAAACTATGATATATTCACACAATATCTGGAATTCTCTGCAGCCATAAAAAGAAGGGGGATGCTCTCCAGGAACTGATAGGGAGCAATTTTCAGGGTATACTTGTTAGGGGAACAAAAGCAAGGTGAAAAATAATGTATACATAGTACATTATGTATATACTTTTGTACAAGAATATCTATATGTGGCTGTGTCTACATCTTAAACCAGAGCCAGCAAACTACATCTGCAGGCCAAATCTGACCCACCTCCTATCTCTGCAAAGTTTTACTGGAACACAGTCATACCCATCCGTTTACAAATAGTTGATTGCTGCTTTCATGCTACAAAGGCAGAGCTGAGTGGTGTGACAGACCCTTAAAATATTTATTATCTCACACATTACAGAAAAAGTTTGTGTAAGACCCCTGTCTTTGCAAATGTCTATGTGCTTATTTTTGCAAAAAAGAAACAGAAGGAGAATAAATTGGCAACTCATGATGAAAAGGGTTATCTATAGGAGAAGGGTGAAAGGGAAAAAGGAGACTTCCTGACAATATCTTTAGTTTTGAAATTTGAACCACGTAAATGTTTTACATATTCAAAATTAAATTACAAAATAGGAAAAAAAAAGCACAGCTTAAAACTGAATTCAAACCAAATGAACCTAGTTGTGTAGCAAATTGATAACATAACTAACTACACACACACAAAAAAGATTTAAGTAACTTCTGAATACAGTACTCTGCCTAAACACCCTTAATGGGATATACTCTAAGGACAAAAAGAAGTGCAAAGAAATCCTAAACTTAGAAGATTTGTCATTCGTAGTGGTACTAGCGTAATAATTCTAAAACTATTTTGTATGTGCTGTAGGATAGAGCTAATGAGTAAATATACTGATACTGGTGGGAACCAGAGCTGTCCATGTAGGTGAAGGAAGATGTAAACACGAAGGAGGGAGAGGTAAAATCCCTGTGGTGACCGATTTTAACTGGCAGCATCTGTATGAACTCATGATTTAAAAACTATATATCATGTAGCTCTGCCCAGCGAAGTAGAAGCAATAAAAGTACTATCCAGATCTTGGTTTCTCTATTAAAAGGAACCAGGGCTCTTTGGAGAAATGGTTGATTCCAAGTTGGAGCAGAAAAAGCGCAAGGTAAGAAGTGCTCAGAGAATGGTGGAGACATGGAAAAATGATACAGAAACTGGCTTGAAGGGACTTCCATCGGTCAACTTTGGGAGATTTTGAATATCAAAAAGAGTAATGATAATAATGGACCATAACATATTGAATAAGAAGATAATCCCTGAGTCCACAGTAATAAAAGAAAGGGAAAGGCGGGAAAGCTGTTCTCTACAGAAGAAAGCCAGCTTATGTAGATGTGAGGGCAGAACCAGCTAATCACTATTTTGCAGCCCCAGCTGATTCAGGCAAGGCTCATGGATGCCAAAACCACTCAGAGAAGGTTGTTGGAGAACAATGTTCATATGGTCTCAAAGAATCAACCCCACATTTCCCTAAATTATGAGGAGAAAAGACACCTTTACAATGGAGAAATATGGTGAACATCACCTTATCCAAGTGATTAAACTGAGTATTGTCAACAGCTGGACAAACTGAGGTTATGTGTCTCCTGATGGGACAAAACAGAAAGGCCATAACATTTCCCTTCTTAGTGTTCTTGTCAAATACAGTGTGTTACACAGAATATAACCATAAGGAAAAATCAGCTAAGTCTGGATTGTGGGACATTTTATAAGAAAAGCGGCCTGGTCTTTTAAAAAAT